GGAAACAGCCCCAGTTCCTGAAACGATTTCTGTGTAACACGGCGAGTTCTGTGTAACACGGCGAGTTCTGTGTAACACGGCGAGTTCCGTGTAACACGGCGAGTTCTGTGTAACACGGCGAGTTCCTCCGTGAGCTGGTTTCACCCCCGCCCAGCCCCAGCCGGGAAGAGGACGCACGGGGGGGAGGGGGGCTTCTCATATGTGGGGACCACTGAAGCCCTTTTGCACGGAGCACCTCAAACTGGAAGGGAGGAGGGGACACCTCGGAGCACAGGGGGACAGCGGGGCCTTTCGCGGGGGTGAGGATGGCAGTGACAGGAAGCCTCGGGAAAGGGGGCGGGGGGCAAAGACGCGCCACTTTCCAGGAAGGAGGAACCATCCTGGGGACCTTGGAGGAAGCGGTCTGACCTGGGGTCCCCGTGGGAAGAGATAAAGTCACGGGAGGGGACCCCTCAGGAAGGGGACTGAGACCAGGGTCCCCTTGGGAAGGGCTGTCCACGCCGAAGGAAGTGGGGGCGACTCTGACGTCACTCTCAGGAGGAAGAACCGATGCTAGGGTCACCTCAGGAGGGAGAGAGGACGCCGGGGTCCTTCCTGGGAAAGGTGGGCGTCTCAGGGGTCACTTTCAGGAAAGGGGGCGGCGTCCGGCGTTACCCTCAAGAAGGGGGAGATGACGCCAAGGTACTCTGAGGACAGGGGGGTGACGCTGGGGTCCCTCTAAGAAAGTGGAACCGACATTGGGGTCACTCTCCGGAAGGGAGTGACGCCTGACAACCGGTCCCCTCCGCCGCCGCAGGTGCTCGTCTCACCTGCTTCCGTCCGCGCCCCTCCGCTCGCCGAGCCCTCGGGTTCCGAAGGCGAAACGGCCCGCCCCTCGCGGGCCAGCCAATCGTGTCGCGGGAAAATCTCCCGCCGGCCTCGCCACGCCTCCTTCCCGGTCTGCGCGTGCGCCACTTTTCTGTCCTGCTGCAGTGCCTTAGCGCTGCTCTAGGGGCGCTCGGGAACGAGCTCCCGCAGATCGGGTGCCCTGTCTATGACCCATTTTATAATAACTACACTATCTACTTTATAGGCTCTTGTGAGAATTAAGTGCAATAATTGACGTAAAACAAACAGTACATAGTAATCGCCTGGAAAACCTGGGCTGTTATTATTTGCATTTTACAACGAGGGAAACAGGCACAGAGCCGGTAAGTAACCCGCTCAGACTAACCCAATCATTAACTGGCAGAGTCGGAACTAGAACCCCGGCGAGCTGAATCCAGAGCCCGTGTGCTTATCTACCAGGCCTTTGTGGTTCCCAGGTAACAACGACCAGCTCTTATTTCTTCTGATTATGAAATAACTTTCCCCTGGATTGTAAAAATACTTAAAACATGCTCACTGCTAAGATTGCAGAACAGAAAGCATAGATCTCTTTTAATCCTCCCATTGGCGAACTGTTAATATTTTGACGGACAAGCTGCCTTTTCTATGCACATATTTTTTAGTAGGATCATATATAATGCAGAATGTTTTGAAACCTGCCCTTCTCACGTTAAACATCTTGTCATTTCAATGTAGACTCACCTTATTGTTTAATCCTCACCCCAGGATATTTTTCCATTGCATTTTAGAGGGAGTGGTAGGAAGGAAGGAAGGGAAGGAGAGAGAGAGAGAGAGAGAGAGAAGAAACATCCATGTGAGAGACATATCAATTGGTTGCCTCCTTCACAAGCTCCGACTGGGGATCAAACCTGCAACCCAGGTATGTGCCCTTGACTGGGAATCGAACCCTCAACCCTTCAGGGACAGGCTGACACGCTAACTACTGAGAAACACAGGCCAGCACTCACCTATTGTTCTTAATGGCTGCATATTATTCCATTGTGCTGGCAAAGCATACTTTAATGACTCCCTAGGTTGGACATCTGGGTCTTTAATAATTCTTTAATATTCTGACCAATACCAGAGTGGGCCTTTTGTACCTGCATCTTATGGTTTTCATCCAACTGTTTCTTTAGGATAAGTACTTTTAAAACTGCAATGGCTGGGTCAAAATGTATGCACAGTTGTTACGTTTTTGATAAATATTGACAGATCACTTCTGGAAAGTTCTCTGTGTCAACTTCCATTAGCACTAACGAGCTATAAAAGTGCTTTGCCCACCCCAGAACGGTTTATATATTCATTATTTGCCAATAGATAAAAAAAGGAACTACAGTGCTTTCCAATTGCACTTCCCTATAGTTTTATGCTGTGGCAGAGGGAAAAATATTACCCACATCTCAAGATTTTGTGCGTGTGAAATAAAATAGCGGTAATAATATAAAAGTATCAAGGAGCTGTCATTGTGGAACAGCCACCAGGTAAAGTGAGATCCTGGCCTTATTTCCCTGAATTTTCCCAACATTGTGAAATCCGTTCTTGGCCTCAGTTTCCTCTTCTGCAAAATAGAGCCCATGAGAGTGCACGCCTCCAGGATCGCTGGAGAGTGAATAAAACAATCCTCCTACTGAGATCAGCGCCCTGGAAAGGCTGGGAGGGGCGGAGCTGTTTGCTTAAGACTCTGTAGCCTGCAGGGGGCTGATGTCAACTTCAGAGAATAAACTGACTCCACCCCTTCTCCAGTTTACCCAGCCGTATTCAGATTACAAGGCCTCCCTGCCCTTGGTCATCGCCGCCGGAGGAAAGCCGAACTCCCCATCAGGAGGGTTGTAAAGAGCCAGTGATGGTCACATGCCACCTCTGCCCTTTGACCAACATTCTCAGCCTGTCAACTTTGTCCAACACTGGAGACATTTGGGACATCACACCTGCCCTTTCACTCTGGGGGAGACTGAGGCCTGGAGGAAGGAGGTTGCCCGGGCCTACCTGGCCATCCCCTGCAACCTGTGGTAAGCATTGTTGCCCCCTGACCCCCATCCTGATACCCTTTCCCCGACTGTCTCCCTTTGAAACACCCTTGGGGAAACAGCTGGTTCTCCTCTCTGCTTCTTGCACAAAGTTCAGATTCTCTGGAAACTTCTCGCTAGTTTTCCAGCGTTGCTGCTCCTCTCTGGGTCCAGGCTGCCTCCACTCCTCTGGACAAGGACATCTACTGTGAGTCTGTAAACCACAGTCAAGCATACAAACCTTGATGCACTAAATCCTCTACATCCCTCTCAGCTGTAAGTCCCAGAACTGTGCAGTCTGATATAGTAGCCATTGGCTACATGTGATTATTTAATGTAAAGGAAAATTATAACTCCAGTTTCTCAGTTGTACTAACGATATTTTTTTAAAATATATTTTATTGATTTTTCACAGAGAGGAAGAGAGAGGGATAGTTAGAAACATCGATGAGAGAGAAACATCGATCAGCTGCCTCTTGCACACCTCCCACTGGGGATGTGCCCGCAACCAAGGTACATGCCCTTGGCCGGAATCGAACCTGGGCCCTTTCAGTCCGCAGGCCGACGTTCTATCCACTGAGCCAAACCGGTCAGGGCTGCACTAGTGATATTTCAAGTGCTTAATAGCCACATGGGGCTAGTGGCTACTATGTTGATAGCGCAGACATAGAACATTCCCATGCTAGAAAGTTTCAGCTGGACAGCGCTGCTCAAGACTGACTCCATGAGTCTGAGATTTTTATCCTATTTTACAGATGAGACAACTGGGGTCAGAGAGATCACACCTGAGGGCACAGAGCGAGAGCTGGGATCCAAACTGGTCTCTGGTGCTAGTGATGGATGGCAGAGTAGGTGTCAGCTTTTCCTTCGATTCAAAGAAGCTGCCCTCATTTTGTTTCAAAACATACAAGCTGTAATATATACATCTACTGATCCCATGGTGCTTAACCACTCAAGTAGTGTGTGTGTGTGTGTGTGTGTGTGTGTGTGTGTGTGTGTGTATTTGCTTATTATATCCCAGAGGCAGCCAGTATTCTAATCCAAAAGCCCACATCACAAACACGTCCCCTATCCATATCTCTATCTACCTGGGAAGTTTTGTTCTTTAGCATAATGAATGTCAGCACCACTTGTGATTTTGTTGTTAAGATTTTTCAGAGAAGAGAGGAAGGGAGAGGAAGAGAAAGAGAAATATAGACGTGAGAGTGAAACATCAACCAACCTGGGCATATGCCCTGACTGGGAATTGAACCAGCAACCTTTAGGTACATGAGACAATGCCCAACCAACTGAGCAACACTGGCCGGGGCAGCACCGTTGAATAGGTGAAATTGGGGGCTCATTAATGAGTCTGATAAAGGTGGGAAAAGGGGGCTCCCATGGGTGGAATTAATAGTATTAAAATATGTGGATTGGTTAAAATACGAGGTGCACTCCCTAACCTTGTATGAACAAATTAGAAAACCGTTTATAACCCAAGCCTGTTCTTTGTCCAGTCATTAATTTGGAGGAATCTGCTTGCCTGATTCCCGTAAGACTAACAGGCCCAAAGCAACACAGAATCCTGCCTTAAAATTGTTCAGGTTTGTTCCTTGGTTTTGTTTTCATGCAACATGAAGGCTGCAACACCAACATGGACAGAATGCTGGGAATTCATGGGATTTACAGGTGTCGATGCTCTTGTGCTTGCTAATCAAGTTTAACGTTTACACGGCAGAATTTGCCCTGGAACCTTTAATCGTGACCTGGCAGCCAGAAGGTGTCAATCATGGTGAAGGTGTCGACCAGGCCTCCTGGAGGCTTCCAGGGGTGATTTGAGACTCCAGAAGAACCCAAGAGTCGTGTCAGACATGTCTGTGTGGCGGAAGCGAGGTCACCTGGGTATGCTGGCCTCCAAAGACGGCCTGGTCTCAACCTCCGTTTTACAATCCGGAGTTCCCTGTGCCAGGCCCTCGCCCACGCCCGGAAGCTGTTTCCGCCAAGCTCCCTGCAACCCCCTCAAGTTCTATGTCCTTGGGGAGGGTTAGGGTCAGAGCCCCCTTCCCTCACCTCCCGCCCCAGGCAGGCAGTGCTGGAGAGGCGCACCTCAAGGACCAGGTGGGAAAGAAAGCCACATTAGCCAGGAAGATCAGTGAAAGCCTCGGTTTAATTGGAGACAGGATCGAAAGATTATCGATCAATGGACTGATTGATAGACCATCAAAGTGGATAAACTGGAGTACCTCCCGGGGGACTTGTGCACCCCCCATGGAGAGAGGAGCCCTGATTGGGGGTGGGATGGTCCATCTCAACTGTTGCCAGTCGAGCCCAGCCCTGGGCAGGGGGAGGGACAGGCTCTGCCCAGCCCTTACCCCCTGGATGAACCGACTCCCCATCAAACAGCGCCGAGCCCACCCTTTTGGGGTCTATGGTACAGCTGATATAATACAACAGGAATAGGGATTCTCCCTCTTGGGAGATCCCCACCCTTCCTTCCCTGACTGGGTCAGCCGGGGAAGGGCACGTTTATTTTCCCTTTTTGCCTCTGTAGAATAAATTTACAAACCAACCTTACAGTATGTACAAAGAAAAAGAAAGAAAGGAAAACAAGAAAACAAACAAAAAAAGGCCCACTCCGGTTGCCGGCTAGGACAGAAACTACTTTTGCTACAAAAATGAACCCTGTACAGTATCATGAGGGTGGGAGAGGGTGGTACTCCCCAGTGGGATAGACAGACGGATGGAAGGCTGCGGGGGTCGGGGGGGGGGGTTGGGCTACAGTACCATGTGCTCAGAATTGAAGGGGTGGAGGCAATGAGAGAGGCCCCACCCCACCCATCTACAGAACCAGGCCACGGGGAGCGGGGGCGAGGGAAGAGGGGGTCCTTCCTTCCAAACAGTCCCCCATGGCTTGGAGAGAAATGGCCTTGCATCTGTCTGTCATATTGCTTGGGGAATAGTTAAGGGCGAGGGCGCGGCTTGGCAAGGCGGAACAAAGGAGAAATGACTTTGGTGCCAGGGTAGGGAAGGAGGCCCAGAAAGGGAATGTGGGTGTACACCATTATTGCTTCCTCCTAGGGCAAAGGGTCAGGGAGGGGGGCAGGAGGATGCTGGGGGGGATGCCTAGGATGGGGCTCTGGGTCTGGCCCCGCCCCACCCAAGGTGCAGGTGGGAGCCACTGCAACCCTCTCCTATGGCCATGAGAATCATTAAGGCAGAAACAAGAGGAGAAGCAGCTGGAAGAAGGGGGTGCAGCTTGGAGCTGTCCCCCAAAATGGAGAAAAGTCAAACAGAACCCAAAGTGGAAGGGGACGGGGGTGGCAAGTGGATCAGGCCCTCCTCAGAGCGCAGACCCCAGGCTGGTGGTGCAAATGTCCCCCTCACACCTTCCCCTCCCAGCATCCTAGGTTGTACAGCATCCCCAAGCCTGTCCCCGAGTCAATATTGCCAGGTTTGTGCAAAATGAGGTGGAAGACTTGGCGGGGAGGCAGTGAGCCTGTGAGGGGCTGGAGCTGGGGCCTCTCAGAGTGACCCGCCCCACTGGGCCCCCGCCCAGAATGGCTATTCCCTGGCTGGATTCTAGAAACCCTCCAAATTTAGGAAGAGCCTGGAAGGAGACCTTATGCCTGCTTGGGCTCAGGTGGAGAGCCCACAGAGGCTGGAAGACTGAGCCTGGGGCCTGGGAGGGGTGCGGGGTGGGGTTGGAGATGGACCAGGGGGTAGCTGGGAACAGGAGCATCTACAGTTGCTGTGTTTCATCCTGTTGTTTGTTTTTTTTTCCCTGTTTTTTTTTTCTAAAAATGTAACAATGAAAATTCCAAAAATAAAACCCCTTCCAGAACCTCAGCCCCTCCTTCCCCAGGCCCCACCTCCGAAATGTGCCCCATGGGTTGGGTTGGGGGTGAGGGGGGAAAGGGGAAAAAAAGAAAAGAGAAAAAAACCCCACTTTTCTGTTTTCTTTTTTCTCAGGAGGCCGAAGAGTCTTTGAGGCAGTGAAGGAGGCAGTCGGGGGACGATGGAGGTGAAAGGAGGCAGGAAGGGTATGAGGGTATAGAGGCTGAGGCTCAGGTAGGGCCTCCAGCAGACCCCCACCCACCAGGGGCTGGGAGTGTGTGTGGGTCCTCGCCCAATGTCCCAGTGCAGGCACAGCACGCCCTCTTGGCAGCCTGATGCTCTTTCTGGGCCCCCGCCTCGGCTGCCGTGGAGGGGAGGCCCCGGAGGCCCGGGGCAGCCTCTGGAGTGGGTGGGGTCCTCAAGGCAGGCAGGCCTGGCCTCTCCGGAGACAGGGCGTGGGGGCCGCTGCAGCCCATGGCATCCACTGACGCGTCTGGGGCTGCGGACTCGTCCTGGCCCACAGGCACACCATCTGCTGGCTGTGCCAAGGACATTTCCTCTGTGTCCACCTCGGTGGATGCGTCTTGGCCATCGACATCCAACGGTTCCTCCCCTGGGGATGCATCCTGAGGCATGAATAATTCCTGCACCTCAACTGCACCCAGAGCAGAGGGCACCTCCTCCTCCTCCTCTTCGTCCAGCGTCAGCTCGAACTGGAACTTATCCGGGGGGGTTGGGTGGTCCGGCCCCCCCGGCTCCTCCTCGGGCGGCGGCGACGGGCTCTGCCGCATGGCGCTGTAGTACCAGTCCCGGTTGTCTTCCAGGGTGTCTAGGATCTCCTGGGCGTCCGGGTGGACCAAGTCGGCCCATGTCTCCCACAGCGGGTGCACAATATAGTCGATGAACCCCACCTGGGGAAGGGAGAAGGAGGATGATGAACCTGTGGCCACAGTGGTGGAGACGGCCCTGCCATGCTGAGGGATCTAATAAAAGTTAAATGTTGATACCATGTGACCCAGCAATCTTGCTTTTCCAAATCTACCCTGGAAAAATTCTTGCATAAAGAACGAAAAAGAACCATATGAGATATAAACAAAAACTGGGAACACCTCCATATGTACATCAGTTGGGGACTTTTTAAAAAAAATACATTTTATTGATTTTCCACAGAGAGGAAGGGAGAGAGATAGAGTTAGAAACATCAATGAGAGAGAAACATCGATCAGCTGCCTCCTGCACACCCCCCACTGGGGATGTGCCCGCAACCAAGGTACATGCCCTTGACCGGAATCGAGCCTGGGACCCTTGAGTCTGCAGGCAGACGCTCTATCCACTGAGCCAAACCAGTCAGGGCGGGGATTTTTTTTTAATGTGGTACCCACAGATATTCATAATGGCATTTTTTGCAACAAAGAAAAACTGGAAATAACTTCATTGCAGGCTGAGACTAATATCATCTTCCCTACTTTTAATGGATTTTTTTTCTTGGGGGACACAATGCTTCCACTGAAAACTACATTTCCCAGTCTCCCTTGCAAAGACAGGGTGGTCAACAGCATCTGTGATCATGAGAGGCATCCCTGAGGATAGAAGCCCCATTCTTTCAATGGCAAAAGGGAAACACTGAAAGCTCCAGGTACCTGCCAATTTTGTGGAGCCATAGAGAGCCAAATTCCCTTTCTCTAGACTTTCCTTGTATAAAAGAAAAAAGAAAGCTTTGTTTTGTTTGAGGGGGGTTGGATTTCTAACTCCTAAACACTTAAATGTCTAGCAACAGGGAAATGACCACACAAACTTTTATCTACATACATCTATAGGAACACTATACAGTAGTGAAAAAGGGTGGGCTAAATCTGTTTATAATAGCTTGGACAGATTTCCAAGTCATTGTTAAGAAGAAAAGGCAAGCTGTATAAAATGGGTATCTATTGATATAATTTATCTTTTTCAAAAAGCTAAACCCACAGACCACTGCTGGTAAGCTGCCTGTTAAAATCTATATATATAAAAGCCTAAGCAACCGTTCAACTATTCTACCGGTAGCTATGACACACACTGACCACCAGGGGGCAGACGCTCAACACACAGACATGGAAACATGGAACAGATTGATGAATCGCAGAGGGAAGTCGGAGGAGGGAGGATGGAAAGAGATTAACCAAAGATCTTATATACATACTAGAGGCCCAGTGCACAGATTTGTGCACCAATAGGGTCCCTCGGCTTGGCATGCAGGGATCGGGCCCAAAGCAGCTCTCTGACATCCCCCAAGGGGTCCTGGATTGTGAGAGGGCACAGGCCAGAGTGGGGGGACCCCACCAGTGCACGAATCCGTGCACCAGGCCTCTAGTAACTATATAATAAAGCTATGAAACTGGCTTTCATCAAGGGTGGGGATGATTTGCAGGCCCAGGAGACATTTGAAAATGTCTGGAGATGTTTTTGACTTTTATGCCTAGAAAGGGGAGGGTGTTCCTGGCATCTAGTGGGTCAAGGCCAAGGAAGCTGCTCAACACCATAATGCCGGGAGCCGGTCCATCCTTGCTGTTTCAAGGGACCTGGCATATATGGCATACTGTTCTTAATATGTTTGCTCACCTTCTTGGTGCTATGTGTTTTAACCAAGGTCACCTCTCTGAGAAAGGTTGTTTCCCCAGGTAGGGATTTTCCCCTGAAGTTAGGGAGGGAATAAAACCCCTTAACTAAGTGCCAGGCGGACCTTTGTAATAGAAATTGACAGGATTAAAATCAATTGGCATAAATATGGATGTAACAAGACAATAAACGGCAGAACTTCTCTGGAGATCCAGACCAGAACTTGGCTGGAGATCCTGGCTAGGCTGCTGATCAACTGAACGCTGTCTCTGTGTCATTCCTTCTTCGCCAACTCCGTCCACACCTTTGGGGACCCCTGGACCTGCTGGGGCTGGACCCCAGCACCATAAGATGCACAGGACGCCCCCACCACAGAGAATGATCTGGCCCCAACTGCCAACACAGCCAAGCTGGGTAATGCTGGTCTAGAAGGGCACCCACACCGAACTGGAAAAGGTGGTTCTCACTGGGAGGAGACTAGACGTGGGGAGGGTGAGGTTCTGTGGAGGAGAAAATGCTGCGTATTTCCCATCAAGATAGAAAAGAATGCCCTGCCAGCATGGCTCCGTGGCTGTGCGTTGACCTATGAGTCAGGAGGTCATGGTTTAATTCCTGGCTCGGGTTGCTGGCTGGATCCCTAATGTGGGGTTTGCAGCCGATCAATGAATCTCTCTCATCATTGATGTTTCTATCTCTCTCCCCCTCTCCCTTCCTCTCTGAAATCAGAACAAATATATATTAAAAAACAAACAAACATCGAAAGAAAAAGAACAAAGACTTGAAGTTATGGAGGAGCAAGTCAGGACCTTCTGGGCCTGAAGCTCCAGGCGGATGGGGGGAGGCTGGTGCCCTGCACTGTACCTGAGACTTCTCCACCGAGGCCGTGTGCTTGTCGCACATGGGGCTGATCTCCATGCCGCGCTCCCGCTCGCGGTCGCCCTGCTGGAAGAACTCGGCCATGATGCGGTCCGTCCACTGGCGGTACAGGTCCAGCGGCTTGGTGGGGTTGCTGAGGTCTGCACAGTGCACCATGTTCCTCAGGACCTGCACGGGGCACGGGACCTTCAGAGGCCACGCTCCTCCTGTCCCAATGGGAGGCTTCAGGCTTCCTTACCTTCCCCCCTTGTGGGGAGAGAGGGTAAGGGGACGATGCAGAGAGACAGAGCAATAAAGAGGATGATGAGTGGGGGAAGGAGGGAGGAGATAAGAAGGGGTTAATGGAGGAAAGGACAGAGGGAAGGAGGGAAATAGAGG